GGGGTTTCGGAGCGGGTTCACGAATCATTCAGATCGGGGTTTCGGAGCGGGTTCACGAATCATTCAGATCGGGGTTTCGGAGCGGGTTCACGAATCATTCAGATTGGGGTTTCGGAGCGGGTTCACGAATCATTCAGATCGGGGTTTCGGAGCGGGTTCACGAATCATTCAGATCGGGGTTTCGGAGCGCATATCGCGAATTATATGATTAAGATCGGAACTTCAAAGCGTGTTGCGAATCATTTGATTTAGATCGGAACTTCGGAGCGAATATTTGTGAATCATTCAGATCGGGGTTTCGGAGCGGATTCACGAATCATTCAGATCGGGGTTTCGGAGCGGGTTCACGAATCATTCAGATCGGTGTTTCGGAGCGGGTTCACGAATCATTCAGATCGGATTTCGGAGCGGGTTCACGAATCATTCAGATCGGGGTTTCGGAGCGGGTTCGCAAATCATTATTCTGATCCGGACTTCGGAGAGTGTTTCATGAATCATCTGATTCAGATCAGGTCTTCGGAGCGCATATCGCAAATCATTTTATTTAAATTGGAACTTTGGAGCGGGTTCGTACATCTTTTGTTTCAGATCGGGACTTCGGAGCGTGAATCATTTGATTCAGAGTGGGTTCGCGAAACTTTTGATTCAGAGTGCGTATTGCGATCATTTGATGTAGATTGGAAATTCGGAAAGGGTTCGTGAATCTTCTGATTCAGATTGGGACTTCGGAGCGGGTTGTCGAATCATTCAGATCGTGGCTTAGGAGTGAGTTCGCGAATCATTCAGATCGGGTTTCAAAGAGGGTACGCGAATCATTCAGATCGGGGCTTCGAAGCGGGTTCACGAATCATTCAGATCGGGGCTTTGGAGTGGGTTCACAAATCTTTATTCTGATCCAGACTTCTGAGAGCATTTCATGAATCATTTGATTCAGATCAGTTCTTCGGAGCGTGTATCGCAAATCATTTTATTTAAACCGGAACTTTGGAGCGGGTTCGTACATCTTTTGTTTCAGATCGGGACTTCGGAGCATGAATCATTTGATTCAGAGTGGGTTCGTGAAACTTTTGATTCAGATCGGGACTTCGGAGCGTGCATCGCAATCATTTGATGTAGATCGGTAATTCTGAAAGGGTCCGTAAATCTTCTGAAAGGGTCCGTAAATCTTCTGATTCAGATTTGGACTTCGCAGCGGGTTCGCGAATCATTCAGATCGGGCTTTGAAGCAGGTTCGCGAATCATTCAGATCGGGCTTTGGAGCGGGTTCGCGAATCATTCAGATTGGGACTTCGGAGCGGGTTTGCAAATCATTCAGATCAGGGCTTCAAAGCGGGTTCACGAATCATTCAGATCGGGGCTTTGGAGAGGGTTCGCGAATCATTATTCTGATCCAGACTTCGGAGAACATTTCACAAATCATTTGATTCAGATCAGGACTTCGGCGTGCGTATCACGATCATTTGATGTAGATCGGAAATTCGGAAAGGGTTCGTGAATCTTCTGATTTGAGATTAGGACTTCGGAGCTGGTTCGCGAATCATTCAGATCGTGGTTTCGGAGCGAGTTCACAAATCATTCAGATCGGGCTTTGAAGCGGGTTCACGAATCATTCAGATCGGGCTTCAAAGCGGGTTCGTGAATCATTCAGATCGGGGCTTCGGAGTGGGCTCGCGAATCATAATTCTGATCCGGACTTCAGAAAGCATTTCACAAATCATTTGATTCAGATCAGGACTTTGGAGCACGTTTTGCGAATCATTTTATTTAAATCGGAACTTTGGAGCGGGTTCGCAAAACTTTTGATTCAGATCAGGACTTCGGAGCGTGTATCGCGATCATTTGATGTAGATCGGAAATTCATAAAGGGTTCGTGAATCTTCTGATTCAGATTAGGACTTCGGAGCGGGTTTGCGTATCGTTCAGATTGTGGCTTCAGAGCGAGTTCATGAATCATTCAGATCAGGGCTTTGAAACGGGTTTGCGAATCATTCAGGTCGGGGCTTCGGAGCGGGTTCGCACCTGGGCTGTGTTTCCCAAAAGCATCGTAAGATCCATTGCCACCAATGGTCTCTACAATCAACTCATCATACGATGCTTTTGAGAAACGTAGCCCTGATCTTTTTGGGATGGAACACTTCCCAAATAAAATGTTGAATAACTTTTCATTTGTTTTCGAAGTATTAGAAATCCATGATGAGAAAAGCAGTCTGCGCCGCTGGCTGTAGTAGATTAGCGCTTGCAGGTCTGTACAGTGCCAGAAAAAAATCTGTGCAATGAATAAATTTAGTTGCACTAAATTTTAAAATAATCATCAACATACCATATTTAACTTTTATTTATTATGTGCTAAAACAAAAAGTATCTACAAAATAATACACTTTAAATATTTAGAAAATAATTAATGAAAAGGTTAATGAATGTTTAACAGGTGCAATCATTCTAAAATAATTCAATTATTCATTTACAAAATATAAACCAGTAGAAAAAAAATGTTACAAAGGCAAAGTGTTCAAGATTCAAGATCAATATTCATATTCACATTAGGAGGACTGATTCTGAAGTATGTAAGTGCTTTCATAAACTAAAATACTAAAATACGCATAAGTAAATACACCAAAGGACACAAATAATAACAAATCCCTTCATTATGCTTTCCAATGTTAAACTATTCGTTCTCAAACAGGGGTGTTTTATTATCATCAAGACACTAAAATGAGTTAAAATTAAATTTTTTCTTATTAAGTCCATTTATATTTTAAATCGGATGATACTGGACAAATATAGATCTTTAATCATGTTTAAATACTGAAAACAGATCATAGTCCTTCATCAGCCAAGACATATGATTTATTACTAGCGCTACAGCTCTGGTCAGGTTTTATGTACTTTACAGACACGTTATGTTTTTTATAATATAATTCTAATATTATTTTATGTATATTGTATATTTGTACTGCTATTGTGTTTATCTACTGTATATATTTGCTGCTGCAACACTGCAATTTCCCACTTTTGGAATAAAATAAAGTCTTCTGTTCAGAGGCGGACAGTAGTTAAGTATTTTTACTTTACTCAAGTAAATTTAAAAAGTATCTGTAGTTTATCAGAGTGTTTTTCTTTGGAAAACGTTACTTCACTTCATTCCGAAGCATAATGTCCTACTTTTTACTGCACTTCATTTCATAAATAAAAGCTGTTGTTTGTTTTACCTTTCATACTTAAGAACATTAAAAATGCAGTACTTTCTTGTACTCAAGTAAATCTTTGAATTACTTTTACTTGAGTACAAGTAAGAAAGTAATAGATTTCTAATGTGATTAAGCATTACATGCCATTTAATATGAAACGTAGTGCAGTAAAAAGTACAATATTATGCTTTGGAATGTTGTGCAGTAAAGTTTTCTAAAGAAAAACACTCTGATAAAGTACAGACACAGAGTAAAAATACTGTCCGCCTCTGCTTCTGTTCATGGTTTAACATCCTTCACATTTGCTATTAGCTCACATTAAGAGACAAAGTCAGTTTACGGTGTGATTCCAGAGAGCAATGCGGCCTCATTGAGGAGATTTCCAGCCTCTTTCCTGTACTTCGGACTTAGCTCTTTGGCTCTCCGAGCCTCTCTGAGGTTTGCCCGCAGGTTGTCCAGCAGCCTCTTCTGCTCCTGGTGTCTGGATTCAGCATCTTCGATCTGACGGATCATGCTGTCCTCGGCTCTCAGAAGCGAGTCGATCATTTCGTGGAGTTTGGTGCTGACGGAGATGACGGATTTGGCGGCTCGGCTCAGCTCGGTGACGTTCTCTTGCGTCCGCTTCAGTTCGCTGGGGATTTCGGCCTCTGATCGCACCATCAGACTGAAGTCGTATCCTTTAACCTCCAGACTGATGTGGCAGAGCTCTGAAGGAGGGAAAATGAGACAGAGAAATGATGAGGGCACTCCATATGGATGGAAATAACTGTGCAGGATGTGGCTTATAAATGAAGGGTACATAGAGTAAGTATCAGGTATGATGATGAATTCATTTCTGAATGACTAACTGCAATAAATGATCCGATGCATAATCGTACTGAACACATCTGCCATAAAAACTAAATAATTACACAGCCATGCATCTAAAAAAAATCTGATTTGCAATCATTTGATTATGCATAATTCGAAAATATCTAAAGTTTTTCCCAAAATAAGATTTTTCTAATTATATGTATCAGCTTTAATACATTTATTAAAATAACAAAAGCAGTTAAATGTCAACATTTCAATTTTAATGACAAAAAGACGCATTCAAAATGTACTTACAATCTGCAAAGGAGTGGAAATATATGTTCAAATACTGTTATTTTAGGTACTATTATAGTTTTTGTTAATATTTTGAATGAGATATTTTCATATTTTCTGCTCCCATGTTAATTTTAGTTAACGTTTTTGTGATTTGGCTGTGTGTTTTGACATTTTTATCAGTTTCTGTTGTTTTTAAATGTCTATAGTTTTTATTTTTATTTTAGTTCTGGTTATTTTAGTACAAGCTAAACAAAATGAAAATGAGAAATGTTACCTTGTTAACTAGCTGAAATTAAATAAGCTTAATTTTTGATATTTTATTTCATTTAATTTCAGTTAACATTTATTTATTTTTTTAATTAACTATAATAACCCTGGTAACAAATACTCCACTTATTTAATTTTCTGTCTCTGTTTGGATGTAGTAAAACACCCACAGATGTAGCAGAAAACATCAGGCTCATGTTTGCATTTTCTATTGTCACTATTCTAACCTTAAAATGAGAATTATGCATAAAATAATGTCATATGTGTGAAAACGGGCTCATCTGTGTTTGGAAATCTGGCTCAGATTCAGACAGGAATCATGTAATTGTGGCGTTTTTCTGCTGATTAAGTGATAACACAAGATTTCTTCACCTTACAAATGGCTGTCGAAAGCAAAAATGTTACGAAATGCACGTATTTTGTGAGAAAGTGTGACCCGCTAGAGCAAAATCAGCACCAGAAAATTAGTAAGAAACAAGTTCTGGATTTCATTCAGCATATATAATGCAAGGCTTGATATGATACTAGATAAACATCTTTACAAAACAATTAAAGTGCCATTTATATGGTAGTCTGAGGTACTATAGGACACACGAGAAATGAAATCACATGCATCCCAAAACATGATTCTGAATGACTAATTACAAAGTTGCAATCAACATAAACCTTATGTGCAATTTCTATCCTTTTTATGCATCATATTAATCCTAGATGGACTCTGTTTGTAGTGGTCCATTATAAGTAAAGGGTTTTGCTTGAATAGCTTGTGTGCAGGCGTCGCTCGGGCAGACTGTGCCCTCTGCAGGCCGTGACTCACGTGTGAAGATCTTACCATGTTTCTCCTTGATTTTCCTCAGGCATTCAGACAGACTGTCGTTTATTGGACAGTGATAGCGGCTTGCAAGAGTCTGAAGCTTGCTCTTCATTGATTCATAGTGTTCCTGCTGTTTGTTGAAGGTTTCTGCAACGTCAGTGAATCGCTCATCGAGACCAGGAACACCAACACAACGAGCAGTAAAACTGCCACTCCTCTGATCTACATGATAGATAGATAGATAGATAGATAGATAGATAGAACGACAGACAGACAGACAGATAGATAGATAGATAGATAGATACCGTTAGCAGCTGGTCGTGGTGGTCTTGCAGACTCAGTTGGTGTTTTATTGTTGGACTGAATCAAAGGTTCTCTCTGTAAGTGACGGAAAAGTGACATTAGAACCCAAATGAATACTTAAAAGGGTCATATGATGTTGCTAAAAAGAACATTATTTGGTGTATTTGGTGTAATGAAATGTGTTTATGCGGTTTAAAGTAAAAAAAAACACATTATTTTCCACATACTGTACATTATTGTTTCTCCTCTATGCCCCGCCTTTTTGAAACGCGTCGATTTTTACAAAGCTCATCGGTCTGAAAAGCAAGGTGTGCTGTGATTGGCCAGCTATTCAGTGCCCTAGCGTGAGGGGAAGCCCCGGCTTAGCGTGCGCTGAGGCCGGGATAGAGTGAGCTGAGGACGGGCTAGAGTGAGCTGAGGACGGGCTAGAGTGAGCTGAGGCTGGGATAGAGTGAGCTGAGGCCGGGCTAGAGTGAGCTGAGGCGGCGGGGTCGAGAACGGGCCGCCCGGTGGATCCGACGAATGAGCGGCAACCACATGTGACGGACTCCGGGCTGGACTCCGCTTTGTCCACGGTGAAAGTTGATGTATTCCCTCAGCGACCAGCACGGATCAGCTCTAGGCATGACGAAGCGGATATCGTCCTCTTTTGGAAGACCAAACTGTTCTGAACTACTGAGGCGCGAAAACAAACTGAAAATAACAAATCTACTTGCCTGACCTACTAAATTACTTCATATAGCCTACTAAATTATGTTTCCCATGTCTAAAAAACAGTGACAAGGAAGAACGTCAATGCTTTTGTCTAAGTTTAGATCCACCTGATACACTGTCCTACTAATTCTCTAAGATTTCATAGCTAAACAAAATACATATTTTAACTTCAATCTACCTGTAAAATCAAATAACCATAAAACAGCCTCGTACCTCATCGTCTACATCGGGAGAGGAGAAACAGCATCCCATTTTTCAGCTCGCAGTTGTTTTCATTCCCATTAAACACTTAAAATGAAAGTTGGGCGTCGATGACGTCACAGTCATGTGGTTCACGTGACACACAGGTGAGTTACTGTAAAGCGGTTCACCTGCGGAAAAACAACAAAACAAATGTATACATGTAAATGTACATCCTGCGCTTTCCATTCGGTCTGATCTTTCTTATATGTGCTTTATTGCCTATTATTTATCTTATTATTTAATATATGCACAAAAATATAGGCAAATAGCAAAAGATACGATCTTTCCAAACTCGTTTAACTACCGAGAAATTAATTACATGGTATTTGTGATAGCCTACGTTCATTTTAAGTTTAAGACAAATAAAAAAGTCCTTCGATTTAAATTATAAAAATTATAAATCATATAAAAATGCAGAAATAACTGCATTAGGCTATATTAATATTCATGTGTAATTATTAAAAAATAATAAGAGCTCATTATATTTCTAAGGTTCTGAGATAATATCAGTACTCTATAATAGCCTATAGGGGTCGCCATTGACTCGCTTTTAATACGCTCTGCTTGCTTTTTAATTATTTTTATTTTTAATATTATTGCTCTATTGTACTATACTTTTTTCATTGTTATCATTTAATACGTTTCGGTTTTTATGTCTGCATTAAATAACATTTCCGTGTTTGCTTTTTGAAATCGGTTTCATGGTCCTGATGCACTTCCAAATTATAAAAATAGTCATAATCATGAAAACAAAAGTCAGTCGTGAAGTTTGCACGAGTGAACAATTTTAAATGTCTAACGTAAACGCTTGTCAAATATTAAATGTTTACTACTTGCATCTTATCGCAATTTTTGACCGTCAGAGTCAGTGTTGGGGGTAATGCATTACAAGTAACGCGAGTTACGTAATCAGATTACTTTTTTTCAAGTAACTAGTAAAGTAACGCATTACTTTTTAATTAACGAGAATATCTGAGTTACTTTTTCAAATAAGTAACGCGTTTCTTTTTTTTCCCAATTTATTTACTGACAGCTGTCCTGTCCCCATGTTGAGAGAAATCAGAAGATGTTACTGTAGTTCAAAATAAATATGAATATGCATTAATTCATCTCACTCACAAAAACAACAACAACACAGATTCAGTATTCCTCAAAATGAATAAAAATAATGCAA